TGGGGGTCCAGGGGTGAAGTTTTGGGGTCCAGAGGTGAATTTTGGTGGCCAAAATGAGTGGCCAAAACGGGGATTTTGGGGGTCAAAACGGGGATTTTGGGGGTCCAGAGAGGGATTTTGGGGGTCTAGAGGGGGATTTTGGGGGCCAAACCGGGGATTTTGGGGGTCCAAAGGTGATGTTTTGGGGTCCAGAGGTGGATTTTGGTGGCCAAACCGGGGATTTTGGGGGTCCAGGGGTGAAGTTTTGGGGTCTAAAGTGGCATTTTGGTGGCCAAACTGACGATTTTGGGGGTCCAAAGGTGAAGTTTTGGGGTCCAAAGGTGAATTTTGGGGGTCCCGGAGAGGATTTTGGGGGTTCCAAGGTGGGGGCTGGGAATTTGGGCCACCCGAGGGAGGATTCTGGTGGCCCACGTGGGGATTTTGGGGCTCCCCGGGGGAATTTTGGCTCCCCAGTTTCACGTTTTGGCCGCCGGGCTGCAAATTTTGGTGGCCCAGCTCCAAATCTTGGTGGCCAAGCCTCAAATTTTGGTGGCCCAGCCCCAGATTTCTCTCTGCCGACCCCAAATCTTGGTAGCCCAACCCCTTATTTTGCTTGCCCGACCCCAAATTCTGGTTGCCCACCCCCAAATCCTGGTAGCCCAACCCCTTATTTTGCTTGCCCGACCCCAAATTCTGGTTGCCCACCCCCAAATCCTGGTAGCCCAACCCCTTATTTTGCTTGCCCGACCCCAAATTCTGGTTGCCCACCCCCAAATCCTGGTAGCCCAACCCCTTATTTTGCTTGCCCGACCCCAAATTCCTCTCCCCAGCCCCAGAACTTTGGTAGCCACCTCCAGAATTTTGGTAGCCACCTCCAGAATTTTGATAATTACCCCCAGAATTTTGGTAGCCACCTCCAGAATTCTGGTAGCCATATCCAGAATTTTGATAATTACCCCCAGAATTCTGGTAGCCACCTCCAGAATTTTGGTAGCCACCCCCAGAATTTTGATAATTACCCCCAGAACTTTGGTAGCCACCCCCAAAATTTTGATAATTACCTCCAGAATTTTGATAATTACCCCCAGAAGTTTGGTAGCCACCTCCAGAATTTTGGTAGCCACCTCCAGAATTTTGGTAGCCACCTCCAGAATTTTGGTAGCCACACCCAGAATTTTGATAATTCCCCCCAGAATTTTGATAATTCCCCCCAGGATTTTGGTAGCCACCCCCGGCATTCTGGTGGCCGCCCCCCACCCCGCGGTAGCCCACGGCCCTCGGCTGGTAGCCGCCGTGCTGGAAGCACACGGTGACCCTGGCGAAGGGCCGCGCCGCCATCTTGGACATCTCCTGGCGGTGCCGGCGCCGCTCGTGCCGCGCGTCCAGGCCCTGCTTGGCCTTCCAGAGCAGCACGCAGACGGCCAAAAAGAGGAAGAAACAGGAAAAAAACACCGAGAAAAAGACGAAAAGGTCGATGTGCGCCTGGTCCTGGCGGAAGAAGAGCAGCCCCTGCGAGGGCTCCGCGCCCCCCACCACCAGCAGGTAAAACCGCGTGGATTTGAGGGGGTGGGCGTGGTGGGGGTAGGTGAGCACCAGGCGGTCGCGGACCCCCCGGACCACCAGGGCGGGCTCGGGCTGGCCGATGGTCAGGTAGGTGACCAGGCCCTGGGCGCGCTCCTCCCGCAGGGCCGGGGCGCCGCCGGGGGGC